GGTCTCTGATGATCAGCGTGTTTCTGAGTCAGTACCTCCAGTATTGTGCACACAAAGGGAGAAAGGCAACTTGTAGTTTGGGTGCTCTAAGGCTGGGGCATTAGTTATCATTTCCTTTCTTTGTTATATAGCTGATTGTCTCTCTGGAGTCCACATGATGGAATCAGGTTGTTCATTTTTTAGGTATGCATATAGAGGCTGAGCCATAAGGGAGAAATTTGGTATCCGGTTTGTACAATAGCCTGCCAGTCCCCCAAATTCTCTAAGTTATTTCTTGGTGATGGGCACTGGGAAAGCTAAAGTTTTTCTCCTCTGTCAGGGTTAATACTCAGTCTTGAACTGAGATAATATGGCCCAAATACTTAACTTGCAGGAAGCACAGCTGAGGTTTGTCTTTGGAGACTTTGTGTCCCTTGCTGGCTGAATAAATGTAGACTACTTTCCTGGGAGAAAGACAGTGTGTCTGAACATAGAACATCATCCACGTGCTGAATGAGTGTTGAGCCCTGGGGAAAAATTAAATCCTCTAAATCAGCTTTTAGTTTTTGGGAAAAGTAAGTGGGACTTTCTGTATGCCCTTGGGGCATTACAGTCCACGTATATTGCCATTCTTTCCAAGTAAAGGCAAACAAATACAGGCTGTCTGGATCTATAGGAATACTAAAAAAGGCACTGCAGAGATTCACAACTGAGAAACACTGGCCGATAGTGGGTAGCTGGTAGAAATGTATGTGGGTTGGGGACCACTGGGTGCCTGGGTATTACAATTTTGTTTATTGCCCGCAAGTCCTGCACAAATCTCCATCCTCTCCTGCTTGGTTTCTTTACAGGGAATATAGGGCTGTTGCAGGGGCTTGTGCAGGGAATAATGAGTCCCCTTTTTAGGTAATCTTGTATAATAGGGGCAGTTCCATTTATGGCTTCCTGTCGTAGAGGGTATTAAGGTTGGGTACAGGTTTCTTTGGGTTTATCTCTGCCTTTATTGGAGTGGCTGAGAATATTTTCCCTTTATCTGTATTTGATTGAGACCGTAAGTGGGAGGGGACATCCTTGAGCCAGCGCTCATCTTCTGGTGTTAACAGGAAGATTGGGGAAGTGAAAAGGAGTTTTATTGTTTCCTGCTCTTTATTCCAGTACTTTCTCTTCTCCCCTAATATTTCCTTCTGTGTCTCTGTTTCATTTTCCCGGCCACAAGATGACGTTTTAACATTACTAGCATTAAATTGTGGTACACTGTCAGGACATTTTATTATTTGGTATTTTTGGTCTCCTGGCCCCAATTCTAAAAAAAGTTCACCTTTTGATGAAAAAGAGATATGGCATTCTGGATGTTGAGGAGATCACAGCCCAAAAGACTGACAGGGGCCCCAGGGCATATAAGAGACATATGGGACCTACTGAGCGTGTCACACATAGAGCCTGTGGCGAGGGAGCTGAACCCGATGAAACGGTAAGACATAGGTTTGGACTTAAAACATGAGATCATTTTATTAGACACATCCACCATGTTAATTTTTTTCATTACTCTGAGGAATGGGGTTTCTAAATAAGGTAGGATTTATCAGAGATATAGTTGCATCTGTGTCAATTAAAGCTGTTGTAAGCTTATGGTTTATTGTTATATTAATGTCTCCCAATTTGTCGTGATGGGGTTTTAACAGCTCACGAGGAGTTTCCTTGTGGGAAAAATATGGGGGATGTGTGTCGCTTTTCATCTTGTAGCTACCTTATTTAGGAGCCAAAAACTGGGAGGCAGGTTTGCATGACCCAGATACCAGCTTGACTCTTCCCTTTGGCTAAATGAGTTTGGGATCCCAAAATTGAATTTCCTTTCACAGACTCCTCAGTGTTTTTAGTGGAGGTGAGGGGAGGTGAATACGACAAGAGATGCTCTGATGGTGGCTCTTCTGTATGCAGATGGTCCTTCTTTCTCTTCTGTACGTAGATGGTCCTTATTCTTTTGAGTAGCATCATACGTTAAGGGCCTTACCTTGTTTATCTGCCTCAACATTCCCAGTTATAGTTATACCTAGAGGAAGACCAGGTGCTACCACTACTTCCTGGTCTGATGTGTTGGTAATATGTCGTAGTATTGATTTGGGGCATGGAACCTGGTTTACTCTTCCTTGCTGATATCATGGCAGTTCATCAGCTGGCGGGTTGCCTCTGGAGGCTGTGGAAGCCCGGCTCCTGGTGGCTTCCCCAGCTTCCAGGTTTGTAAGCCGAGAGCTCTAGCCCCATCAGCGCTGCACCCATCTCTATAGTTAGTTTCTACACACTTTCTTATACAACTCAAATTTCACTTTATTGCAGTCCATTCCCTCTGTTTTGTGATTTTTAGGAAGTCTTCATACTTTATGATTTACACAACTATTGTTTTCAAAGAAGTCACATTACATATTTCTAACTTTCTTTTCTCTTATTTCTAGAATTTAAGCCAGGAAGAAGCAGCATTCTGCCTTCTGGATTAAAACTGAAGATCAACCTACTTTCAACTTACTAAGAAAGGTATTAAGTGCCTTTCTGAGAGCTCTCAGTGGGTTCCCTAAGCATGTTCACTCTACCTCCTTTAAGTCTTATATTTATGATCAAGATGAAAGGGTGAAAGGGAGGGATTTATCACTGCACAGAGGTTCTACTAGTGGATATATAAATCTAGTAGTGTTTTCAGTGAGCTCTTTTCCTGGTAACTACTTTCCAAGTGCTTTCAGCATTCCACCTTGAAGCACAACATCAGTAATGCACAATTTCTTACATTCAGTCACAGGATGTTCAAGAATGATTTGGTTACAACATATTGCTCTATCCAGGACTCTAACAAAACTGACTTCTTTCAAATGGACATGGCAGTTGCTAAACTCCAAATCAACACTTTACCTTAAAGAAAAAGAGAAAAGGGGGGGAAGGATGGAGGGAGGGGAACAAAGAGAATGCAAGAGAGAAAGAAAAAGAGGAAAGCAAATGCTTGTAAACAAATTATACCTAATAAAAGAGACATAAAGTAATTTCTTAATAGAAGGAATGATATTCTAAGTAAGAATCAAATGTTCAGGTATGTAAAAACTCCCTTCCTTTTGGATCAGCTTTTCTCTCTTCTTTACATCCTCAGTACAGATTCTAGGTTGGGGGGCAGAGAGAGGTTAGCATTGTCTGGCTACAATTTGTTCTGTCTCTTTGTCTGAGTGGTAGAATTTTAGAGCTTGTCCAAATGCTAAGAAAGGGTGCTGGTGCAAGTTAGGCTGAGAAGAAATGCCATCTAACAGATTTAGGAGAAATAATGTTGTAGACATCAAGAAGAAAGTTGGAAACTGGCAATTTGGGAAGGATAGCTGGGTCAGAAAGGAAAAATAGGAGAATACAGAAGAAATGGTAAGAGAAGGGAAAAGAAGATGCTTCACTTATCACCATTCAACTCAGGGCAGGTCCATTTGTACAAGGTCATCCTCAGGCCATACCACATTACAAAAGAGTTATTCTTGAGGTCTGTGTAGCACTGTTAGAATCAGAGTCTCCAAAGATGAAGACTCTATGATGGCAGGTTTAAAAAACTTTTTCTAAAAGATTTAACTAAATAAGGGGCATTTATTTTTTTGGTTCACATTACCTGAAAGTTAAAAGATAGCTTTCAGCTCCATTGAGGTCTATCCTCATTCTGCATTCTCCTGTTTTTCATTTCTTTGTAAACTTGGTAAACTCTTTGCTAGTGTTGTTCTTCAATAGTTTCTCACCAATAGTTCGAATGAATACCCCACCAGCTTCTACCTTGTAGCAGAATGTTCATGCTTAGGTTTCAGCAGAAGTTCCTCAATAAAGTCTTGGACCTACTTAGGTCATATGTTATCCATGAGCTGAGCACCGGTCCTAGGGCATATGTGTTCAAACTGGTCCCATCTAGTTCATGTGACTGTCCATAAGGCTCACTATAGGCAGCCTATTCTCTATACAGTAGCCAGAAAGATCACTTTGATTGTGGCAAACATTGTTCAATTACAACCCTTCCCTGAGGCCTCTCTCATTTATATTTCTCATTTCACTTCGAGTAAAAGCCAAAATGCCAGTCTTGGCTCCAAGGCTGCAGTTGCCTGTCAGATCGCATCTCAATCCATTCTCCTTCTCACTTGTGTGCTCCAGTCGCCCTGACTTCCTGAATGCTTTTTGAACTCTCAATGCAGTTTTCAGCTAAGGGCCTTGTTATTTTCTCTTCCCATGCTTGTAACAGTCCTCCTCACACATATCCTCAGGGCTTATTCTTTGGCATGCTCCAAATCTTAGTGATTTTTTTTTTTTTTTACCAACTAATTTGAAATGGGAGCTTTCCCTGTGCATTTACTAACTCCTTTCTTTGCTTTAGCTTTCCCAGGGCACTTCCTACAGTCTAACGTATTGCATGTTTTATCCATGTATTCAGTTTCCTATGGGTGTCACTCCAACTCCCACTAAAACAAGATTTTCGAGAGTAAGCAAGCACTAGATCAAGTAGGAAACACATTATAGCTATCCAGTAAACTATTTCTTGAGTTAATCAATCAATGGATAGTGAATCAATACTGTTATTTGAGTGGGGAAGTTTGTATAAGGCTCAACTAAATGGGAAATTGAGTGGGTCAGGTACCATGAATACTGTACATGCTATTGCATGATTCTTCTGCCTACATCAGAAGATGTTTACAAGCCTATTTTAATTGATACCAATTGGAATCTCTCTTTTATTCATCACCAAGAGAACGATGAACAAGCTGTTTATCATTTGACTCACCATTTAATCTTGATTTCCAACTTCTCACACTTGAAAGAAGACGTGATAATACATTTATTATAGGATTCTGGGACTATTAAATGAACTTATGCATGTAAAAGGAATTCATACAATAAAAGCACTAGAAATAATTATACTTAAAACTATTGTATTTTTACATATTTAAAATACAGCCATAACTAGCTTACTCAAATGCAAGTGTAAAGGTAGTATGATTTGCTTTTGTTTTGTTATCTTTGCTTAGGGGATCATGGACATTGAAGCATATCTTGAAAGAATTGGCTATAAGAAGTCACGGAACAAATTGGACTTGGAAACATTAACTGACATTCTTCAGCACCAGATCCGAGCTGTTCCCTTTGAGAACCTTAACATCCATTGTGGGGAAGCTATGGACTTGGGTTTAGAGGCCATTTTTGATCAAATTGTGAGAAGAAATCGGGGTGGGTGGTGTCTCCAGGTCAATCATCTTCTGTACTGGGCTCTGACCACAATCGGTTTTAAGACCACAATGTTGGGAGGGTATGTTTATAGCACTCCAGCCAAAAAATACAGCACTGGTATGATTCACCTTCTCCTGCAGGTGACCATTGATGGCAAGAACTACATTGCCGATGCTGGGTTTGGACGCTCATATCAGATATGGCAGCCTCTTGAGTTAATTTCTGGGAAGGATCAACCTCAGGTACCTTGCATCTTCCGTTTGACCGAAGAGAATGGATTCTGGTATCTAGACCAAATCAGAAGAGACCAGTACATTCCAAATGAAGAATTTCTTAACTCTGATCTCATAGAAAGCAGCAAATACCGAAAAATCTACTCCTTTACTCTTGAGCCTCGAACAATTGAAGATTTTGAGTCTATGAATACATACTTGCAGACATCTCCAGCATCTGTATTTACTAGCAAATCATTTTGTTCCTTGCAGACCCCAGATGGGGTTCACTGTTTAGTGGGCTTCACCCTCACCTACAGGAGATTCAATTATAAGGACAATACAGATCTGATAGAGTTCAAGACTCTGAATGAGGAAGAGATAGAAAAAGCACTGAAAAATATTTTTAATATTTCCTTGGAGGGAAAGCTTGTGCCCAAACATGGTGATAGATTTTTTACTATTTAGAATAAGGAGTAAAACAAACTTGTGTTTTTATTACCTAGCTCACCAGTTATCAACTGATGACCCATCAGTTGATAACTGATGAGGGTATCTTTTGTACCCTTACATTATTTTAAAGAAAATCCTAGACATCAAATAATTTCACCCATAAAAATTTCAGCATATATAATTAAACAGCTTTTTAAAGAAACATAACCACAAACCTTTTGAAATAATAATAATAAAGGTATTTTAAAGATGGCCTTTGGTTATCTTGGCAATCAGTGATTTATGCTAGAAAGCTTTTAATGTTGGTTTATTGTTGAATTCCTAGAAAGGTTTTATTGGTAGATGAATAAATAGAATACTGTGAAAAAACTTATTGTTTATAAAGTATATTAAAACACTGTTGGCTAATATAATTTGAATTAAAATTTTTTGAAGACTTAGGATATTATTGGGCTATGTACATCTTCCTCAATGCTGTCTTCCTCTGATCTTCTTTCTAGTCTCTTAAATTACTTTACTTCCTTCCACACTTTGCCATAAGAGAACAAACATGAGCTTTTCTTTATGTAGATCTGAGCTGAAATCTTGTGGGTGAATTACTTTTTAGATATGTGGCTCTCACTCCTCAGACATAAAATGGGAATGATGATTTTATAGTTCAGTGCCAGAACTAAACTCCTAACAAATATTTGTTATATGGATCAATTAATGTCAGTAATGTTTTTGGTACTAGGTCATTATTTAGTAAAGGTTGTTTTTCTATCTTGCTTGCTCCCCAACCCCTGTCATCTGCCTGCCACTTTCTTGATTAAATGTTGATAGGATATTAGATGCCTAAGATCTAAGAGTGTGTTTTGTGCTTCAGAATCAGAATCTTGGCTTATCTATAACTCAGATTTTCTGTTTGTGGATTCCAGCGTCAGGACTAGAGTTTAACTTGCAGACTTGTTCTTACATGGTTCTCCCTCTTCAACTTATGATCACTGTAATAAGGTTAAGAGAACGGCATGGACTAGAATAAAGAAATTTTAGTTAAAAGAACAAGATACAAGCATGGGTATTTTATGCAGCAGTGTAAGAGCTGGGAGATGGAGATCTTGGTGTGGGTGGTATCTTAGGAAGAGGTAGATATGAGACATACCCTTAATGAGAAGGAAGGATGAAATATATGTTTTAGTATTTGATGGCTTGTTATCTTCCTTATTGCATTGGCCTTTTTCAGTACAATCTGCTGCTATCTTGCGGCACTGCCAGGCCACTTCTGGTACTCTTGGGCAAAAATTAGTTTCTCACATTCTGACCAGGACCAAGACACACTGACCGGATCTAAATGTGTCTCAAGGAGAATGGCACAGCTTTGTACAAATGAATCAAGGAAGTCTTATTACACAATGAGTATCCTGGAACCCAATGCAACTGATTTTTTTTTTTTTTAAATATATCTATCACATAGGGAAAATAAACCAGGGATATGTTGAAAGAGACATATATAATATTTATCATCCAGATTGATGACTTCTGCCCTAACTATGCAATGTTAACTATTCTCAAGTGCAATCTAAATGAGTGAAGGAGAATAATCTTGCCACATCATTTGGCCAGAGATTTTAAGGTGCCTCCTAATTACTTGTGTTTGTCCAAACTATTGTCTCTGTTTTTGATGGCCCCTTGGAGATTAGAATGTGCCATGTATCAGACTCTAAGTCAAATAAGGCAGACTCCAAACACTTTATATGTAGCTAGAAATGTGGGGGTGTTGGATATGTATTTCAGTTTCTTCTATCATAATGGCGAAGCTGAGTGTGAACCTTTATCTCCCATTCGTTCTGCACTAAGCCAGGGAGAGGATCTGTGACAAATGCCTGCACTGGTGTTAGGTTGTACTCTCTGGGGGAGATAGCTATAAGCAGTTGGCTCAATTGTATATTTACCTGTTTGTTTCCAGTGTCTAGGGCCACTCAGAAATGAACAGCCCTGTGGACTCTCAGAACTAGGTCATTAAAGAGACAGTCCCTTCTCTGAGGGCTATACAAGTTGTAGCAGTTGGTGTGTGGACCAGATACCTACAGGATATATGGGTAAACCTGGAATTATCACTGGAGTAAGCTAGAGAAAGGCTCAGGAAGTGACATCTTCCAGCTCAGTCTTTTGGAGGGTTAGCTTGTCTACCCCATTAGCTCAGCAATGCAAGTTCACTGGAAGCCAAGCTGCCAAGTAGCCACTGGAAAAAATGTGCAACAGGCCAGGCACAGTGGCTCACACCTGTAATTCTCAGCACTCTGGGAAGCTGAGGTGGGTGGATCCTCTGAGGCCAAGAGTTCAAAACCAGCCTGGTCAACATGGTGAAACCCTGTCTGTACTAAAAATACAAAAATTAGCTGGGTGTGGAGGTAGGTGCCTATAATCCCAGCTACTCAGGAGGCTGAGGCAGGAAAATTGCTTAAACCTGAGATGGGGATGTTGCAGTGAGCTGAGATGGTGCCACTGCACTCCAGCCTAGGTGACAAGAGCAAGACTCTGTCTCAAAAACAAACAAACAGAAAAATAGTGCAATAAACCCCTTCTGGAGAAAAAAATGGAGGCTGTGTATTCCAGCCTTTTTTTCTGCACTATATCTAGAGAGTGTACTTTTTGGAAAACACACCTTTGTTTTGTGATCTAGAGACACATATGCCTAGTCCCCTCTATTGTTAAAGCCAGGAGGCTTAGGATGCTGTACTTCATGTGGAAGCTGTAAAAGTTGGGGCATAAGGAAAATAACTGCCAATTGAAAATACTATACTCACCAAATCTATTCTTTAAACATGAAGGGGAGATAAAGCCCCAAGACAAACAAAAGCTAAAGAAGTCATCAGCACCAGACTTATCTTACAAGAAATGCTAAAGGGAGTTCTGCATCTGATGAGAAAAGATGCTAACATGCAACAAGAAAATATGTGAAGGTATAAAACTCACTGTTGAGAGTAAGTAAACAAATTCATAACACTCTAAGACTGTAACTGTGGTGTGTAAAACACTCATATCTTTGGTGTGAAGACTAAAAGCTATCAAAAATAAGGACAACAGTTTGTTAGGAGATGGGCAATATAAAATGATGTAAACTGTGGCAACAAAAAGTCAAAATATGGGAGGCATGGAATTAAAGCACAGAGTTTTAAACTTTTTTTACTGGCTTCGTTTCTTGGTGCTGAATGTTAAGTTTCCATCAGTTTAAAGTAACTTGTTATAGCTCTAATATTTTTTGTAAGCCTCATAGTAACCACAAAACAAAACGATGTCATAGATATGCCAGAAATAAAAAGAGAGGATTAAAACATACTACCAGAGCAAAATCACTTAACTGCAAAGGAAGATGGGAAGGAAGGAAGAGTAGAACTAAAAACAATCAAAACTGGGCAGGATGGCATGTACCGACAGTCCCAGATACTCAGCAGGCTGCGGCAGGAGGATCACTGGAGCCCAGGAGTTAAAGGATTCAGTTAGTTATGATCACACCAATGCACTCCAAACTGGATGACAGAGAGAGACCTTGTCTAAAACAAAAATAAATAAATAAATAAATAAAATAATAATAATAATAAACACTAGGGGTGGTGGCTCACACCTGTAATCCCAGCACTTTGGGAGGCCAAGGTGGACAGATCACTCAAGCCCAGGAGTTCAAGAACAGCTGGGGCACCATGGTGAAACCCCCTCTCTACTAAAAATACAAAAATTAGCCAGGTGTGGTGGCACATTCCTATAATGCCAGCTACTTGGGAGACTGAGGCATGAGAATCACCTGGGAGGCAGAGGTTGCAGTGAGCCGAGATTGTGCCACTGCACTCCAGCCTAGGCAACAGAGTGAGACTCTGTTTCAAATAAATAAATAAATAAGCCAAAAAACAAGTAACAAAATAGTTACTTGTATGTATTTATTTAGCAATAGCACTGTATGTAAATGGAAAAAATTAAAAGATGTAGAATAGCCGAATAGATTTTAAAAAAAAAATTATGTGCTGTCTACAAGAAACTCATGTAACCTATAAAGGCACACGTAAACTGAAAGTAAAGAGATAGAAAAAGATACTCCATGTGAATGGAAACCAAAAATGAGCAGGAATAGCTATATTTATATCAGATAAAACAAGCATCCAGTCAAAATTGTAAAATGAGGCAAAAAGGTTATTATGTAACCATAAAGGAATCAATTCAGCAAGATGATATAACAATAATAAAAATATACGCACCCAACACTGGAGTACCCAAGTATATAAACATTAATAAATCTAAAGGGAGAAGTAGAGAGCAATAAATAATATTAGGGAAGTTTAATAACCTGCTTTCTTTTCTCTTTTCTTTTTTTTTGAGGGCGAGTTTCACTCTTGTTGCCCAGGCTGCAGTGCAATGGCATGATCTTAGCTTATTGCAACCTCTGCCTCCTGGGTTCAAGCAATTCTTCTGCCTCAGCCTCCCGACTAGCGGGGACTACAGGTACATGACACCACGCCCAGGTAATTTTTGTATTTTTAGTACAGATGGGTTTTCACTATGTTGACCAGGATGGTCTCGATCTTGTGACCTTGTGATCTGCCTGCCTTGGCCTCTCAAAGTGCTGGGATTACAGACGTGAGCCACCATGCCCACCCCCTACTTTCTATAATGGACAAGTCATCCAGACACAAAATCAACAAAGAAACAATGGAGTTAAACTGCATTATAGACCAAAATGACCTAACTGACATCTACAGAACACTTTATCCACTCCTACAGAATATACAGTCTTCTCATCAGTACATGAAACACTGTTCAGGATATACTATACATTAGGCCACACAATGACATCAATGAATTTTTGAAGTTGAATTCATTAGTATCTTTTCTAACCACCATTAAATAAAACTGGGAATCAAGAGAAATTTCAGAAAGTGTACAAACACATACACATTAAACAGCATGCTCCTAAACAACCAATAGGCCAATGAATAAATTAAGATTGAAAATTAAGCATTTTGTGAATCAAATGAAAATGGAAGCATAACCTATCAAATCCTGTGGGATACAGCAAAAACAGTACTAAGACAAAAGTTTATAGTAATACATGCTCATCAAAAAGGTAGAAAGGTTTCCTAAAAACAGCCTAATAATGTACTTGAAGAAACTAGGAAAACAAAAATAAACTCAAAATAGAAGAAAAGGAATAATAAATATCCGAGTAGAAAAATCAAATTGAGACAAAAAAATGTACAAAGGATCACCAAAATAAACAGTTGGATTTTTGAAAAGATAAATGTTCATATGGAAAAAACAAAACATTTCAACTGATGCCACAGAAATACAATGTATTATTGTAAACTATTATGAACAAGTATATGTCAACAAATTTCAAAACCTAGAAGAAATGGATAAATTCCTGGATACTTACAACCTACCAAATTGAACCACGAAGAAACAGAAAATCTCAACAGATTAATTATGAGTCATGAGGTCAAGCAGTAATAAAAAGTTACCCATCAAAGAAAAGCCCAGTATTTGATGGCTTTACACTGAATCTACCAAACATTTAAAGAAGAACCAATACCAGTTTTACTCTAATGCTTCAGAAAAAATGAAGAGAAGGAAATCAAAATTAATTTTATTAGGACAGTATTACTCTGAAACCAAAACTAGAAAAGGACACAGAGAAAAAAGAAAACTACAGGCCAATATTGCTGATAAATGTAGATGAAAAAATTTTCTACAAGATACTAGCAAACTGAGCAACCACACATGTAAAACATCTTCACCATAATCAAGTG